GGTATCTTAGTTTGGAATTCCCAAAAATCAGATCCTAAGATAAGACAAAATTAGTCCTCTGTGTTGGCAGTGTTCTTAATAGTTTCTTCCAATAAGGATGGCCAACGGCAGATTTGCATAGCAGGATTTGCATTCTCCCAGTGTAGCCCAGCAGAAAAACAGCACCTTTTCCTCAGTGGTTCCATTGGAACAGGAAAAAGTTCCAGGGCTGACTCTAATGGGAATAATCTGGGCCACTGAACCAATCACTGTAGACAAACACCTAGAGTATTCTGGTCAGGGATTGAGGACAGTCACATTCGTATCACACGATCAAATAGTGGATGAGGAGGAGTTATTCTTTAAAAGATATCACAGCATTATTACCTGAAAAGAGAATGGATGCTAGGCAGGCAAAGTCCACAGATGTCTACTAAAATTTTGGGCGATAGTCCTTTAATATTTATTTTATACTTGAAAATGCGATGTATTATACAGACTTAGCAATAAAGAACTTCTTTTTTTTTTTTTAAATAGAGTTGATCCCATGACTCTCTTCTATCAGAGTTGTACCTTGGACATAAAGGATGATTTGCAAAGAGTAAAAACTTAAGTCATCCACACTTTGGTTTTCAGTACACCATAAAAATTTACACATAAAGAGAATAGTGATTCTTAACTCGTAATGGTCCACAGATGGCTTTTTCACAGACATTTTTAGTATCCAGTGAATTCAATAGATTCGCTCCTTAGAACATATTTTTTTGTACATACAAACTTCTTTTGAGAGATTGACCGTCTACACGAAGCCCAAGTTAAACCCCTGATGTAGACTGAATGTTTTCAAAGCCCTTGGCTCCTTTGCAAGTAAGCACATAGTCCTTTTCATAGTTATAACATAGGAATGCCATTTAGATGAATTTGTTGATTTTTATTTTTAAACTGCTCAAATTATAAAGATGTACAAATCCGAAACACTATTTTCATACTGCATTCTTGTTCAATTCAGTGTCACAATCTTAAATCAAGGCAGATAAACTGTATTCAATTTCTGGTGAGGATACAAGGGCAAAAAATTAAGTCTTTCTGAAGCTTTTGAATATTGTTTACTCCCATAATAAAGGAAGCAGCTTGCTGCCTAATAAGATGTGGCCTGGAAGGTTGCTTTATCAATTTGTCAATCCCTTGGAGGAAAAAACACATTTTAAAAACAAATCCAAGAGTAAGACATACATGAATGCAATCCATTTACACTGAGAGCACATTTCTGTACTGTGCCAAATAAAGTAAGAATTTTTGTATAGAAATTTATTCTTCTACCTTGCCATCCTTAAATAATACGATGTTCAAGAATTATATATATGTCTGTGGGAAGCACTTTAGGGTTTTTTAGCCTTTTCTATAAAAAGTATTATTTGTAAAACAACCATAAATTTGTGAAAATGGTAACATGCTAAATTTGTAGGTTTGTCATAAAATACAATAAAGTACAGGATATGAACAATTGTTTTTTAAGATGAGTATGTACCAAATATTGCATGGAACTGACTAATACTAAAAAAAAAAGTTGCTTATTTGAAATACAAATTTAATAGAGCATCCTATTTTAATTTTTGAAATCTGGCAACCCTATAAACCTGCAAACAATATTGCTTTTATTTACTTGTAAATAAACCTTTGATTTTCTACATTAAAGTAGTTTTGGTAGTGGCATCTCATTTTATTGTCAGATATATGTTTTTGGCTAAATGGACGATTAAGAGTATATACAATTATATTTTCATTGAAGTTGTAATAGAATACTTCAAGCTTTTTTTTTTCCATAAGCAGTGTCCACTCACATCCCTTTTCACTCCTGAAGAACTTTATGAAGAAAGCCAGACTGAAGTAAATGTTTCTTTATTTCAGATTGGTTTCAGATCAATTCTTTTAGTACTTAAGGAAATGTTATTAAAAGTTGCATATTTTCTGCGTTTAAAGTAACTTACATATGTGATTCTTAAATGATTTGTCTTTGAAAGCAGAAACTTTTCAAAATGAACCATTATGTAGAGATGAAATCAGTGAGTCTAAAAAATGAATAACTCATTTTTAAGTAAATGAGAAATTGTTTTGTGCTGTTACTTATACATTTTCACATTTATAGTTAAATAGTAATTTGCGATACACAGGGTAGTAGTTGTGAATTGTGGTTTTCAATATCACAGACACATTTGTTGCTGTGGTTTTGCAATATCATTCCCTGATGCTTTTCTCAATTGTGGTTTTCATAATCATTGTTTGATAGTCATGTAGCTGTGGTTTGGGGCTGCTATATCCATTTGGACAGAGATAATTGCTTATAGGTTTTGCTGTCTTTTAATTTCATAACCTTGATTAGTTAAACTAGAAAAAGAAAAATTGAACTTTAAATATCATCAACATTCTCATTAAAAATGATGAGAAAAACAAATTGTAATAGTATTCCTTAGTTTAATTCATTCAGAATGACTATAATTAATATATATTTATAAATTTATATAAACTATATCTATTTCTAATAATGCAGTCTGGTTATTTTATCATTCTTGCCTTGAATTCCCTGACTTTTGCTCCTTTCGGCTTTTAAACTGAATATTTAGCTGAGATTTATTTGTTTCTCTTTTGCTTTGCATATTTAACCATTTCAAATGCCAAAAGAAACACTAACTGTTATGATATTTTAATTCCAATGGGCATTCCTTTTGGCTGATATAAAAAGTCAGCCAGTTCTGTAAAAAGATCTTTAAAAACCATAATGTATAATACATCCAATTCTAAGCACACCAATTTAATTGTAATGAATTGAAAATTAAGGAGGCAAAAATCTGTAGTTCTCGGTCTGCTTATTCATCCCACAACACAAACACACGTAACCCTGCTTGGTACTTACGGCTTTAATTTGTTGCTTCTTCAGGGGAGGGACTTTGTCATTTAGTGCATTTTCCACTGCAAAGGACCATGTATTCTTACAACCTCATATGGTAATAGTACTAATGGTAATGTAATAAAATTCACAATTGGTCTTCAGCTTTGTATTAAGATTCTCTCAGCCATACCTTTCACAGGGCAACTCTTTACACCTTCCAGAAGATGTCCTGATGGGGTTATAAATGACACTGATTACAGTGCTTCCTGCACACTGAGCAGCCTGCATTATGCTCAATCAGCCCAAGCTCTCTGCTGACCCCCAGACCCTTTCAGAGTATCAAGTTTGGTGGGGCTCATAGGAATGGCTAGTCAACCAAACAAAGGGGGGCACAATTTTAGATCGGAATGGATGATCTCACAACCGGGGGTGGGGGAAGAGTCAGCAGTATCTGGGGAATACATGTCAACTGCGGTGGAGTTTATTAGTAAATACTGATTACATAAAGCAGCCGGTTCCCCTGCCACTTGGATAGAAGCTTCTTCCAGCCCACCCGGGAGTATATATTTAATACTCAGTATATACGAAACTATGAGAAACTAAACTAGTCTCATGCAGCTTAACTTGGCCAAATAATAACTGTGCAAATCACTTCAAAATTTGTTCTTCTTTTGGCTTGCAGTTTCCGACATACTACACACACAATAAATGAATAAGAATGAAACAAAACTTTAAAAGCTAAAGAACCATGAAATAGTTATTGGGTCTTACCTGCTTGGGAAATTATGGCAAGATCAAATCTTTTATTAGTCGCTGGCTGCTTCCCTGTGGCAGAAGAACTAAAGAGAATTAAATAAAGGTCCTGGGATGGGGTGGGACTTCAGAACTTCCACAGACTTCCTCAAAAAGTTAGTGTTCTGATTAGAGACGGTTCATTTCCCACCTAGGGCTAATCACCTAGCTAATGGTCCTACCTTTTGATATGAGGAAAAATATCTGCCTGTTTCCAAATTCGTAATTTTTACAGTCTACAATGAAAAGTCGAGGTGAGAAAGAGCACTTTGAGGACGCCGCTCAGCATCCCATCCTTGCGGGCTAAGTGGGGGATGGTCCACGTCCGCAGCGGTCTCCTGGGAGCCTTGAGAGCAATGAAATGGTCTCCAGAGAGCCCGGGCAGATGAGAGGGCTTAACTGGCCCCAAGACACACAGTTGGCATTTGTGATCAGCTGCCTCTCGCCGAGGATTTTGCCAGGGGCCTAACCTTCCTGCCAAGAAGCTGGAAGGACGGGCGTGGAGGCTAGGGGAGGGGGCGGCATAAGTGGAAGCACAAAGTTTACGAGGAGACTGGGATTTCTTTGTGCCCGGCTGGACGGGCGAGGCGTGGGGAGAGTTGGGGGTCCATCAGAGGGGGCTGTGGGAAGAAGTTGCCTGGAGGGGTGCTCTGGCAGATGCCCAGAGATGACGCCGTGACAACTGCAGAAGGTGGCCCCCCTCCAAAGCCTCCCCACGCCTCTGTTCCCCCAACCCCCCACCGCGCTCCCGTGCACCCCACCCGACCGAGGCCGGGGCCCTCTTTTGCATCCGGACTGGCTTTGGATGCAGCCAATCCTCCTTTCGCTGATGGAATAGTCTCCCCTCCCCGCAGCCCCGGCGCGCCCCTCCCTCCCGCGCCTCGCCACCTCCCGCGGCAGAGCGCGAGCTGCGCGGCCCGGAGCGGCGGCGGCGGCGGCGGCGGCGGCGCTCGAGTCTCTGCCCCGCACGCCGGGGAGAGGGGAGAGCGAGCGCGCTCCTCCTCCCGCGCCTTCCGCCCCCTCTCTCCCCCTCTCCCCTCTGCTCGCTCTCCCTTCCCTCCCTCCTTCTCTTCCTTCTTTTCGTTCCCCCTTTCCCCTTTTCTCTCTCCTCGTCCATTCGTTTGTAAATTCTGTTCTCCCCCCTCCATCGCTCTCCTCCTCCCCTCCCCACTGTCACACTCTCTCTGCCCCCCTCTGTCTTCTCATTTGCTTGCTCATCTCCAAACGTGGCTCCGCGGCTCCCGGAGGAGCCCAGCGCCCGGATCCCGCGCGCCCGGAGCACCTGGAGTCCGGCCCGCGGCGGCCCGAGCCTGGCCAGCTGCGGCGGCGGGAGCGCCGGGAGCCGAGGGAGCTGCAGCCCCGACCGCGGGCACCGCGGGAGCCCCAGTGGCAGCGGCTGCCGCCGAGATGTCCCGGCGAAAGCAGAGCAAACCCCGGCAGATCAAACGTAAGTTTGCACGCCGGGCCGGCAGTTGCCGGGATTATTTCTGGGGAGGGGGCGCGCGGGGCGGGAAAGGGAGGGAGGCTCGGGAAATCCGCTCCCCGTGCCCCGGATTTGTCAAACTTTGCCTGAGCAGTGGAGGGACAACTAGTCAGTCACAGACAGACAGACGGCCCGAGCGCCGGGCAAGAAAGACGCTGCGACGAACAGCCTACTCTTGCTCGCCCGAGTCTTCGCGCTCCTGGGTTTCTTTTTAATTCCGACCCCCGCGCCCAGTTAGTCCCGCTTGCTGTATCGTTCAGCCTGCCTGGGCAGCCCCACTCATTTAGGAGATTCTTCTGATTGTGGTTGTTGTCATTGTTGTTGCAGTTGACGTAGTGCTGCTATTGGGGACTACACTTTTAGCAAGCCCGGTGAGAACTTAGTTCTCCGAAAAGCTGGTTGGACCTCGGGGCGAGGGAGGCACCGTCCCTAGGCGGTGGAAAATCAGTGTCTGGGTCCCGGTCCAGGGCGGTGCCAGAGCCACGCCAAACCCGAAGCGAAACAAAAAGTAGGTGTAAAAGTTTGCGCTTCTGCCGCGGGCGGCCGTCCGCCTCCGCCCCGAGGGCGCGGGGCTGGCGGCGGGCAGGGCTGGGCCGGGGGCGCCGGGCCCGTCCGGTTCGCGTGGCCGGGACGCTCAGCCGAGCCGGGATTCGGTTTACCTCCCGCCCCGGAGGCGCGCGGAGTCCTCGCTGGGAGGGGCCGCCCGTCACTTCCCACCGCGGAAGCTGTGAGTTCAAGGCAGCCTGTGCGCCGCAGAGAGCGTGACCCGGAGCCCCCCAGCGCCCGAGGGCCGGGGTGGCGCTTAGAGGACGCCTTGGGGTCGGAGGTACCTGTCCGAAACACACACACTGGCAGAACTCAACTCGGTCAACTTTTCTTGTCTTGGGGAGAATTCCTCCAATGGTGTTTTGTCGCCCTGCGACACGTCTTCAACGCTTTGGCCGAAAAGGAGACACAGCCTTATTAGTTTATTTTTTTATTTTTTGCTAGGCTTGTGGTGTGTCCATTTCTTCGTGTTGTTTAAAGTCTGGCAACTAGTTTCAAACTGATTATAGTGTAGTTTTAGGGTAAGGCTTTAATAGTATCCCCTCCCCCTTAATTATTAACCACGCTCACCCCACCCCCAAATGTTGAAAATTCTGTTTGGTGTAGTTTAAAAATAAATCTTATCAATCAGCTTATTCAGCGTGAAATGGGGTCCAGGCTGCAAGCAGTTGGCTACAGTTAAGTATTTCGATCGTTATATACATGTACAAACCTTGCCTTTCAGACATGACTCTGTGGCTTTTATTCAGTGGCTTTCTTCTTTACTTCAGTTCCTTTTTTATGCAACTTGGGTTAAAGCAGGGACTGAACTGAACTTATAGCTCAAAGCAGTTTTAATCAAGCAGAGATACCGTTGTTGAAGACTTTCACTTTTTCAGAGTGATTATCCATGGTTTTAACTAATTGCCTTTTACTTTTTAGTACTATTTATCGGGTCCCTCTATATAAATGTTGCATTTTATAGTACAAAACTGTGCATATTATAAGATACGATTATAAACATTAAATGTAAATGCTTTTTAGTTCATGGCTGTCGTCTAGATTGTTAATAAATAATTAATATTAATTGATTGTATGGCACAAAGACCATCTGATTCTGCTTGGGAATACTTTGTTATCTTCTCAATTAGCTACATTAAATTTTTTTTTTCTATCCTTCTATGTCCACCTCATATAACTGAAGATTAAAGCGTTGGAACTAATTGCTGATGCTACACTTGTGTTATAGGTCATAAAACATTTTAGTGGCTTATTTGAATGCTGTGATTTATTAACTATCAAAAATACTTGAAAGTTCTCTCATTTGAAAGTGAACAGATATTATATTTATATATTTGTTCACAGTGATCATTGCCTACTGATATATGCAAACATGTATTATTAATATACATGCATTTTAGACTTTTACTGGATTCAATTTGGGGTCACAGTGATAATCTATGCAAATGTGGACACGCTTCTCCCCTTGGACTGTTAAGGAGAATGAAAAATTAAACGTCTTTGAATTGTTATATTAGAGCAGTGCTATCTAATAGCTGGAATTTTTTTGGGGGGGGGAGGAGTGGAATATTTAAATATGGTTTGACCAGCTGTAAAGTCATTTTGGTTGCAGCCTATCGACATTTGTCGCCTTTTGCCTGTCCAGGCACAAGAGGCAGTTTTGCAGATGAAGTTTGTCTTGATACTCGAAGTCATTAGTATGGTAGGTCTTTCCCTCCAATTTTAGTAGTATATAACAAGTGTAGCATTATTATTATTATTATTACAAATAACAGTGCTGCTTTTGATATTGTGGGTCAAATATAAGTTTGGAAAAAAATCAGAAAGAAATGCTTTTAGAAACAAGAGCATTCCATGCAACTAATGAAACTGTATATTAAACTTGGAAGCGTCCAGAATTTGAAAATAAAGCTTTGGCACTGCTGATAAAGCTTACCCAATTTAGAGCAACTATGACAAGCAAAAGTCAGCTTATACCAGAAACTCTGAAGACAGTCAATTTAAAGGACAAAAAGGTTGTTGGGCACAGTTTTTTTTTTTTTTCTTTTACTGCGTACAGTTCTCTGCTATCTAAAATTGTGATTTATGCAGTATTTTAATATTTTGCTTATTCTTTCCCCTTGGGTGCTCTCCGGGCAGCGATAAAAAGGCGACGCTGAAAGAGCACCATTAATTTGCTATGATGACTGGCCAGATAAGAGGAGATAATGGGAAAGATAAGCGGAGAAGATATACCATCAGAAACCCGATTATTACCATTAAAATTCCAGCCCAGCAATCTGCAGAAGCCTGATAATTCCTTCTCCGTTTCCACCACTTTGGATGATAAGGCAAAAAATAGTCACTCAGTGCTCCTTGATTAGACTGCCTGGATTTCCTGATAATACAGTGATAAATTATGTATTTTGCCCCCATGTTTTGTCCCAAAATTCAGATTTTTTTTTCCTATTTCAAGACTATATTTTCTGCCCTCCCCTCAGAAGCTTTCTCTCCTGAGCTATTATTGTAATCCTGGTTTGATAAAAAGCCCTGATAGGATGGGAGGTGTTTGGTGTGGGAGCCATATCATGCTATCAGCCCATCTCCTCACACAGCTGCTTGCTGTTGTTGTTTTTAGCCTTATCACCTCCTGCCAATATGCCAATAAATTGCCCAGATTGTTCTCCATTCTGGGGCTGCACTGCAAAATTTATGACAGAAATGATGATTTTTTTTTTCTTTTACCAATGCATCTCTTTATGATTAGTAAACGTGTTGTGTGTGCAGTTTTACTGTTATTTTCTTCCTCGAGCTGTTGTCTCTAGTAATGTGTTTTCTGCCCTATGTGTCCCCAACTTCAGTCACACTTAAGTGTATTGGCTGTGGGTTCAGGAAAAGATTTTTTTGGGGGGGGGACAAATGCTACCTAGTAGTGAATGTGGAGGTTGAAAAGGGAGGGAAGAACTCAAATGTTTTATTTTCATACAAGATGAAGAAAAGGCACTCTTCTTTATACCACTGAAGTATAGTTTCCTTCAACTTTTACATTGCTTGATGTTTTCAAACATGTAGGATGTAACTGCTGCGTAGATCATGTGCCAAATAATTTGTGGTGAAGGAAAAAGAAAGGCTGAATTAAGAGGCACAATTTTTTTTTGAAAAGTGAAGTAATATTGGGAATTAATACATACTTTGAAAGTAAAATGGTCCATGCGAAGAATAATCTTGTTAGCAGTTCCATAGAGGGGCTTTTGCAGAAGTTGGAATCCGTTCATATTGAATAAATTACCTTTCTGTTATTTGAGATGATCTAATAATTTCAGGCCGTACGGGTCCCTACCTTGCACACTGGCATTTTAATATTTTATGCTATTTTTTTAGAGTAGGTAGTATTACGTGTTTTATTTATAAAATGATTATTGTCTTAAAATGAGAGTGTTGCATATTAAATTTGTTATTTGATATATGCCAATGGGAAAATCTGTAACTGGATCATCTTTACAACCTTAAAATTACATTATGCGAAGAAGTGGCTGTGGTTATTTTTCATTGTTTTAGTAGAGAGTTTTTTATTTTAGTGTTACCTGTGTTAAGTGTTCAATACGTAATTTTTGGGTTAATTATCTACTGTATTCTTCTTCATATTATTTTTAAAAAGGCATCTGGGATTGCTACGTACGTTTGAAATACATTGATCACCCATACTCAGGATGTCTTGCTTTTCACCTGCCAAATATTAAGACAGGGTTTTGCTTTGAAACAAATCACTCATTTCTTGTGAATTTTAAGGATAATTAAAGATGACATTAAAAAATAAGCCTTTCTCTTTGGTTTGTGATATGTCTCATGTTAGAGATTTTATTTTCTGCATCTTTGGCTGAGTAACATTTCGGAAGACCTACTTTTACACAGGCCATAAAGAAAAGAAAAGTGTATACTGTGTAATACTTGTTTTATTGATAACATAGATTGGTACCCTTATTTGAAAGGTAACAAAATTAATTTCTTTATTTACAAATTCGAAATATATCCCTGCATAGAATTTTTCTTAATAAATGTAAGCGTATTTAGTAGAATTTTTTAAATAAGCAAATTTTAAATGGCTAATATACTAATCCTGGTTTTTTAGGTGTTAAAGAGAATATAAGAAAGTTTACCTCTAAAAGATCATTAATCATGAAGTCACTTTTTCTTTTAAGTTCAGTGGAGTCAACAATGCAAGCATAAATGCAGTAGCATTTTTATGCATAGTTGCTGTGAAAGAGTTTTTAAAACTTGGTGATATGACTTGGAATTAAAAGAGTAGCTCTTGTATTTTCCACTTCCGGTAACTTTCTAAAGTGGCTTTTTTTGGTAAAATTATGGGGTAAGTAAAACTAAGAGGTTTAATATATATCACAATATTTTTTAAACAAACAACTTTGAATTTTTCTGTTAAT